GCTCTGTCACCCAGGCTGGAGTGCAGTGGCACAATCTTGGCTCACTGCAAGCTCCGCCCCTTGGGTTCACGCCGTTCTCCTGCCCCAGCCTCCTGAGTAGCTGGGACTACAGGCACCGCCACCGCGCCTGGCTAATTTTTTGCATTTTTAGTAGAGATGGGGTTTCACTGTGGTCTCGATCTCCTGACCTTGTGATCCGCCCGCCTCGGCCTCCCAAAGTGCTGGGATTACAGGCGTGAGCCACCGCGCCCGGCCAGTCTTCGCATTCTGTGTAGTTACGCACTGTCTCAGCTGCAGAGCATGCAGCCATTACGTGCTACGATGCCCCACAGCTCAGGACACGGCCATGTCTGATAACCCATCAAAGTCGAAAATGCACTTAATACCTTACTGGAGCCTGGGCATGGTGGCTCACGCCTATAGTCCCAGCACTTTGGGAGGTTGAGGTGGGAGGATCACATGAGCCTGGGAGTTTGAGACCAGCCTCGGCAACCCCCTCTCTACAAAAAATGTTTAAAAATATTAGCCAGGCGTGGTGACACTCAGGTATAGTTCCAACTATTCAGGAGACTGAGGCGGGAGGATCGCTTGGGCCCAGGAGATAGAGGCTACGGTGAGCTGAGATTGTGTGCTGCACTCCAGCCTGAGTGTCAGAGTGAGACCCTGTCTCAAAAAACAAACAAACAAACAAACCCTGATTAAACCATCGTGGAGCTGAAAAATTGCGAGTCAAACCATCATTAAGTTCAGATGCTCCTTGACTGACCGTGGGGTTCTATCCCAGCAAAGCCCCCGTGAAGTCAGAAACCGCGAAGTCCAGCTATGTGTTTCTCCCCCCAAACCCTTGTTCAGTCCTAGCTCTGCAAGTGACGGCAGCCCCGGTCTCACTAAGGGCAGGGGTCTGATCTGAGAAATGTGTTACTCAGCGACGTTGTGTTGTGTGAACCTCATAGAGTGCACGTACGTGCACAAACCCAGATGGTATAGCCTGTCACTCCGAGGCTGCAAATCTGCACAGCAGTTACTGCACTGAACCCTGTAGGCATTTGTAACACCGTGGTAAGTATTTGTGTGTCCAAACAGAAAAGGCACAGTAAACAGACAGCGGTTCAATCTACCTTGCGTAGCCACAATGTGGCAGAATGGTGTTGCCTGCTGCTTTGACTGATGGCACCTGCGTGGACGCGGGTATGTGAGTAGCTGTGTGGTAATGTGCTCCAGAAGTGGTGGGCGTGTGGGTGGGATGAAGCGCGAACGCGCGAGCCGCGAACGCGCGGGGAAGGGGTGCCAGGACGAAGGCGCGGTGGACACCCAAGACGCTCAGGAGTTGGGGACCAGCACTAAATGAGCCAAATGTGGTGAGGGAGGGGATAACTCTGTTTATGCGAAGCTGGGGCAATACGAAGAAAAGAAAAAAAAAAACCGTCTATTAAGAATATCAGGCGCTGTGCGGTGGCAGGTGCCCATGTGTGAATCCAGACTCTCAGGAGTGGCTGAGGCAGAAGAGAAACTCGCTTATGAAGCCTGGAGACGGTGAGGAGGCTGCAGGTGAGAGCAGGAAGTCGCGCCACTCACTCAGCCTGGGTGAAACCTGAGGAGGGTCTGTCAAAAATAAATAAATATCTCACACTGGCACGAGTCCTCGGTGTGTCCGTGTTGGTCTTTGTTGAAGTTTTGGCTGCTCTAGTAGAATTTCTCGCAGAGGGGGGACTCATGACAAGATTTCCAGCTTCCTGAATAATCCTATGAATCTGTTTTTTCTGATTCATTGTGCTCGAAGGTCAGTTTGGCTTCGTATAAAATCCTTTGATCAACGAATTTTCTCACACCGCACCCGCTCCTTTTTGTGTTTGTGTTGTTCCTTTAAATTTTCTCGTATGAGCTTGTAGGTCTTACTATATTGCCTAGGGCTGGTCTCAAACTCCCAGCTTCAAGCAGCCCCTCTGACTCATCCTCCTCAATGCTGGGGCATTATAAGGGCGTGTTAGGCCACTGTGCCTGGCGTAGTCACTTTTTTTTGATATCTTTTTTTTTTTTTTTTTGAGATGTGGAGGTTTCACTCTGTTGCAGGGCTGGAGTACAGTGGCTGTTATCTTGCTTATGCATGAGCTGCAGTCTTAATACG